TACCCGGGGCTTCAGGGCTTAGAGCCCGGCCTTGCACAACACTGGATGAGCATGGCTCACTCCAGTGTAGGACATGAAGGCACAGCGACCACTACCGCTCTGGTCGGTGGCTGAGAGGCGCTTAATCCTCTCCCCCTTCCCAGTGGGCATGGCGCTTACATTCTTTTGCGCTCTGAGCGTGTTTTGAGCCTGGGATGCTCACTCAAAAGTTGTAGGGAATGACATGTAGAACATATTCTCTCGTGTAGATTTTCAATTCTTACAATATCTCGAGAACTAGGCTCCAACTTGAAAATCGCCACGAGAGAACTTGTGCATTCAATGTCTAAGATACCCCTTCACCGCTCTGCTCGGTCATAATGGGAGGTTTCGGGGAGAGATCTTTCTTTTACACGTTGACCGCCCTTCAGCCACCAGCATTCCATTTGGCCGTCCTGCCGTCTAATCAAGCCATAGATTATCATGCAATTCGAGCCCCGAGGCATAAGCGAAGGCTGGGCGCTCTGACGCGCGCCTCCTCGGTTAACCCGGGCGCTGCCTATCCCCAGGAACACCGTGCTCGCTTTTGCCACTCACCCTCTCTCACCGTTCCTCTGTCTACTACAGTCGACACCCTCTTAACCCATAGCCCTCGGGACAGGCCCGAATATATGGGTTTTGAGGGGTTATGGGCTACGAGAACTTAAGCGCCCTATAAGCGCCCCTGATTAGTCCCAGTTAGCGAGCGCTGGAAAGGCGTCTACTGACCCTTTGAGGGAGCGCTATGGGATTTCGAACAGACTCACCTACCCACAACGTGGTCGGAGCATGGATGGACTCTGGGAGGACTCTGGGAAGCATGCATCGAGTATTACAAAGGTTATCGATGAGCGTTATCTCAATGTGAGCCCTATTACCGTATGGGTTTTGGGCCCTAGAAAGCTATGGGTTATTGGGTACCAGGGGCCTATGGGTTATGGGGTCGAATTCCCCCTATCCCGACTTGGGAAAGCCAAAATCCTATGGGTTTCGGGAGTTTATGGGTTACCAGGGGTATGGGTTAGGAGGGTGTCGACTGTAGACTGGCCTCATTCTTCTTTTGCTACTCAGCCCAGCACCCTCAATATCTAGTACGAGCCTTCATGTATGCAAGTATAACTAATAGTGCAGAATAGAACACTTCTGGCCCGCTACAATGCCTGATTGCGGGATGCATCGGACGTGTTGGTTTCACTTTCATATAGGCCATCAACCCGATCCCCTCACCTATCAGTGGCTCTCTGCGCCATCGCAGGTGAATATTTGAGCCGGATTCGAGCTTTTTCTATATGCAGGAGTATAAGAGTTATGGATGTATACCGAAAACAAGGTGAGAGAGCTCTAGCCTTGACTCTGCTATGGCGCATACCCCCACTCCCTGTGTCCTATCGGATCATACCCCTGCCATCGTTAACTCCAGTTCTCCCCCTCAGCCCATCTTCTCTTCATTGAAGCCTGCTCAGAGGGTCGCAGGCGCACGCCGGACCACAAATGCTCGCAAGCGCAAGGCCGAAAACCCACATCCAACTGGTCAGACTGCCGCTGAGGGTCAACGGCCAAAGCGTCGACGCAGGGTCGTATTCGAGGCCCCCCCACCCACCACTGATGTCGTCGGTATCGGACCCATTGTCTCTCAGCCAGATTCAAGTCCTGCTCTCGCTTCCGCCCCATCTGCACCTCCCGTTCTGGATACTCAGCCTCTTCCCGCTACAGCTTCAGTTCTCGTAGGCTCTCTGATCAAATCATATCGGTCTGTCAAACGGGCAGTGCAGCGCAATTCCAAGAGCCGAGCGAGGGACGTTTGGGGTAACCTCCGAGCCCTCAGTTCCGTCTATCCACCACCTCCCGACACTATCCCTGTGGACGAGCCAACGCTCCATCATAAGCCCGATACCCCTTATGTTGGGTGCAAGCTTTGCAGGTATGTCCCCATGAGGTTGTGAACGCTGTTCTGGTTTTGCTGGTTCTGAGCCATCATGAGGTCGAGCTGACACATCGGGTTGCTCTAGAGACGAATGGAAAGTGTTCGTCAACACAGACGGCATCATGAGCACCGCCCGTCGGCATTTCAAGGACAAACACCCCGAAGAGTACAAAGAGTTCTGTCGCACACATGGACTCCTACCCATCGACCACGATACTGACAGATCTCGAGAGGCATTCACTCTCGATGGCCTGTTGGATCGTCTTATAAGATGGATCACTGCAGACGACCAGGTGAGTACAACGGTGACATTGCTCATCGTGTCTTGATGAATGCAAACTTACACCTGATTGCTAGGCTATCCATGTCGTCGAGTGTCCAGAGTTCAGAGAGCTCCTGCTCTATCTCAACCAGGAACTCGATGATGACGACCTTGTTCACCACACACGGCTGAGCGAACAGATTCTTGTCCATTACCGGCAGGAATATCAAAAAATCATTTCCGAGCTTCAGGTGGGCCTGCATCTGTGTTTGCAAGGCTCCTTTCGTCTAACGCCCCTTGTAAGCATGCCCCTGGTCGTGTCTCATACACACTTGACCTCTGGGAGGATGAGAATCGTCAGACGTTCATGGGTCTGACCGCACATCATTGCCACGAGGATGGCAATGTACTTGGAGGCAAATCACACTTACTTGCTTTCAGATACTTTCCACAGTCGCATAGCGGTGGAAACATCACTTTGGAGTTCTTCAAGATCATTACTGATGGTGGGCTTCAGCGCAAGGTTTGTCACAGTGTCTCTTTCCCTAGACTGTTGCTGAAGACTGCGACACAAGATTGGCCAGATAACTATGGACAACGCCTCAACAAATGACACTATGATGGCTGAGCTAGAGACTCTCCTCGTACGTGAGGGAATTCCGTTCCATTGGGATGGAAACCGGATCCGGTACGGTACCTCCCAATCATCTGCATTTTGAGGTTTACTAACAAGAGCTGCCAGTTGCTTTCCTCATGTCGTCAACATAGCGAATCAGCTCATTCTAGATGAGCTTAAGACAAACCCTATGGAGCCTGTGCTCTCGCTTCCAGCTCATACGGAGGACGAGAAGCTTCGATTGCAAACATATGCAGACGTTCTCGCCGGCAACCCCATCCAGAAGGTCCATGACCTCGTCAGCGCACTCCGTTCCTCTGGACAACGCCGGCATGACTTTCAGCAGTTCATTGCTGAAGGTGTAGCTTCGCGCAGCTGGCCTGACCATCCCCAGATCCGACCCTTGCAACTTCTCCGGGATTGTGAGACACGTTGGTCGTCAACATTTCTTATGGTGGACCGTACTCTACTCCTTTACCCGGTACGTTCGAATCTCTCCTATCATCTCTTAACCTGTCGCTGATGCATGATGTCTAGGCAATCGAAGACTTCGTCAAACATCCGTCACGTGCAGATCTGACAAAGTATCTTCTGACGGTCAACGATCGAGCGGTTCTAGCCAACATCTATCAAGTCCTGGAGGTCGCCCATCAAGCCCAACAGCTAGTGTCTGCGGAGAAGACACCAACACTAGCCCTTGTCCTCCCAGCTTACGAGCTCCTCGTCGACTCCTGGAAGCAGCTATGTGTGCAGCTTTCTACGCTCACTCACTACATCACTCTAGGAATCGAGAAGATGGAGGAGTACATGATGAAGTCCCGAATGTCTCGCATCTATTCGCTTTCCATGAGTAAGTTGTTGTTCTCTGCGCTGTGCCTAATTCCTTGTCTGACATTCTGTTGTGCTAGTCCTGAACCCGATGTTCAAGCTCTCATGGATTCAAGAACATTGAAGTCACACTGAAACTGAGACGGCCCGTGGATGGGCTTTAGAAGCTGTATGTACAAGTATCTACCACACTTGTCAAGTACATAATCCTCATGTCAGTCTGGTAGATGCTTGAATTCCGTCAGGAAGAGTCACGTCGTGCTCATGCCGCAACCAGTGCTCGCACCCTCTCACGCACACAAAGCCTTCCTGAACCCACTAGTGGTTCCAAGTCGGCCGCAGCAACAAGGTCTCTTGCCCGAGGTTTTGCAGGTCTTCGAAGTCTCAATGATCGCATCCGGCGCTCTGTGTCCCTTCCCATCGCTTCAGATCTGTCTATCTGTACCGCACACAGTGTATCGGTCCCATCTCTGATGGACGTTGATGACACAAACCTTCTTGCGCAGCGCGTTGCTCAGGACCGTGCTGCAGTCACTCAAGAGTTCGAGCGCTATTTGGAGGAACCGGTTGAGGATATTCCAGATATTGAGCAGAACGGAGATCTTTTCACCTATTGGACAGTATGTATGATATTTCGCACCTTTTTGTTGCATTGAGCTGATGTGTCTCCAATATAGGCCAAACGGCACATTTTTCCGTACATGTACTGTGTCTCCCGTGACGTCCTAGCTATGCAAGCTACCAGTGTTGTGGTGGAGCGGATCTTCTCATCAAGCAAGGAGACGGACACTCTCCGCCGTAATCAGCTTCATCCGGCACTTATGGAGGCACTCCAGGTTCTCAAGTATCGCTACCGGCAAGAATGTTTAGATTTCGCTGGAGACCTTATCGCCCGCATCGAGCAGCCAGCTATGCAAGATGACGACGACTCCCCACCTACCAGAACCGCGTAATATGTCTTCACTAGCCACATGAAATCACCCCGTGTACATAACTTATGTTATATATATTGCGACGCCTTCGTGAATGAGCGACCGGTTACCATATTTGGTCGCTCAGCTGGCAAGCCAAGCTGTGGCTGGGTCTCGGCCAGGAAGCTGGCGCTCAGCTGACTTGATTTTGGCTTGGCTTTGTTGAACAGGCGCTGGTTTACACAGCTTGCCTAACACAGCCGTCACAAGATATGGAATGGCACAGCCAGTTACTACAATAACCGAGGCCGTACGACTCATGTGGTACACACACAGCTTCGCTGTGTACGCACTGCTTCTCTGTGCGACTGTGCATCCTGGGAAGGTACTGTATAGTACTACGTAGCCACAGATGTACAGTAGTATATATAGGGGGCCTCTGTACCCCCAATCTACAGTTCAGTTCACTTGAACGTCTCCTCTCATCACTCTAACAAGCCTCTTACAACCAACAACCCTTCTAGGTGAGTTGCAGGCTATCCGCTGTCGTTGCCACCCGTGGGAGAGGCCTTCGCCCCCCGGGTTCAACAGGCTTACTCTAGCTTGATGATCCAGCTAGATCCAGCTTGTCAGCTTGGCTTGGCTTAGCTGGCTTGGCGGCAACACTAAGCAAAGGAGACGACGATGACAACTGCTAAGCATCACTGCAGTCTGCGAGTTTATTGATCATCATTTCGAGAAGCGCCTGTCACCTTAGACGCCAAGGCACCATTCTCCACAGATATCCTCTTTTCTCAC